TTGTTGCAGGTGGACCTAAGCACCTCTTGCATGTGGAAGCAGGATGATGGGGTCAGCAGGGAGCCGGCTTAAGGCAGCTCTAGACAAGGGAGTAGGCAGTCCAGAGAACTAGACTCCCAGCCCACTGCTGCAGGGCATGCTTATAGGACTACGGGACCCAGTGCGGCCCACGGAGTTGTGAGGGCAAATGAATTAATTTTATCTTTAAATAAATAAATAAATAAATAAAATGGGATTTTATTCGGTTTTCATTTCACTCCCAAGAAACCACAGCCAATGTCTTGAGTTTTGGAACATTTCGCTTGAGGCCTGCAGCCCAGGGTTCTGCTGTCTGCCCGCTCCTCTCCCCAGGCTCCTTGGGGGTGGGTGGGGTGTGTGTGTGTGTGTGTGTGTGCAACTGAGAGGCTGATGGAAATAACAGTGCTTTTTAGTGTGTGCCATCTGCTAAGTGAGGTCTTCTCTCTGGCCCTCAGTTTTCTTGTGTTCCGGGAGGAAGTTGGACGAGACCAGCCTAGTCCAATAGATCTACCATTCGAGCCACAAATGTGAGCCCCATATGTAATGTTAAATTTTCGAGCATCCACTGTGCAGAGCACGCCTCCTCCGGGGAAAGGGGGCGTGGCCGCAACCCTTCCGTGGAGAACTGGGTGCTGAACCATTCCTAGACCACCTGCTTCTGGGTCAGGGTTTTGTAGGTAGCAAAGCAGCTCCCCCCACCCACCCCAGCCCTCCACACAAAGGTTTGTTAAAAAAAAAAAAAAATCATTCATATATTTTAAAAATTAAAAATTCAAAAAATTTTTCTAGCAGCCACATTAAAGTAAGTAAAAAAGGGGATTAACTTTAATATATTTTATTTAACCCAATAGATCCCAAACATTATCATTTCAGTATAATCAAGCTTTTAAAAAATATCAGTGAGCTATTTTACATTCTTTTGTTTCAAACGAGGGCTTCAAAACTGCAGTGTATATTTTACGCTCGGCACTTGTCAGTTTGGAGTAGCCGCGATCGTTACAGGCGCTCAAAAGCCCTGAGGGCTAGTGGCTCCCGGGCCAGGCAGCCTCTAAGGGTTCCTCCAGCTCAGGCATTTGAAGACTCTGAATCACCATGCCCAGGGCGAGGTTCCTGATGTCCAGAAAAAGATGTCAGTGTCCGAGGAGGGAGTGAAAGCAGAGAGGACATGGCTTTGGGGATTTCTTCCCCTTTCTTGTCTTCCCTGGGACAAGAAACTCAGGGAAACCTAATGAGAAAGGGGTGACTGTGTTCTGTTTTTCCTATGGCCTCTTGTTCTCTGGGTGACATCAGGCCCATCTGAGGCTGTGTGGGTGTGAGTTTTGTGGGGAAAGCTACCCCTGACCACATGAACCCATTATTCTTCACCTTTTTTTTAAAGTTTTTATTTAAATTCCAGTTAGTTGGGGCCCCTGGCTGGCTCAGCCTGTAGAGCATGCAGCTCCTGATCTCGGGGTCGTGAGTTCAAGCCCCATGTGGAGTGTAGAGATGGCTTAAATAAACTTTTAAAAAATCTTTAAATAAAATAAAATAAATTCGAGTTAGTTAACATACAGTGTAATACTAGTTTCAGGTGTACAATTTAGTGATTCAACACCTACATACAACAAACAGCGGGTGCTCATCATGACAAGTGCCCTCCTTAATCCCATCACCCATTCAACCCATGCCCCCACCGACCTACCCTGGGTGGGACCATCAGGCTGCTGTCTATAGTTGAGTCTGTTTCTTGGTTTTCCTTTCTCTTTTTTCCCTTATGATCATTTGTTTGGTTTCTGAAATTCCACAGTATGGAGGTTCCTCAAAAAGTTAAAAATAGAACTACCCTACGATCCAGCAATTGACTACGAGGTATTTACCCAAAGGATACACCCATTATTCTTCACTTTGCCACTGACTTCAGATTTCCCGCCTTGTTCTCTTAGCACTCTGTCTTCTACCTTCCTTTTAACCACTTTTTCTCCTCCCATCCCTTTATTAATACACCAACCCAGCACCAAGCCAGGACACCCCAGAATACAAGGTACTTACCCATCCCTGAGAGTGAGTGCCTCCTTAAATTGTGAGCCTTGGGCACCTTGCTTGCCTCTCCTAATCCCGGCCCTGCCCCAGAACGCCCCATGGGGTCTGGTTTTGGGTTGGGCGTGTGTGTGTGTGTGTGTGTGTGTGTGTGTGTGTGTGTGTGTCTGGGGTGGAGACTGGGAGGAATGGGATAGCTGAGTTGATGGGGACAGGTTGGGGGCCTGTAGATGAAACACTTCATTTGCTAGGTCTCTTGTCCTAGACTAAAATGGTCTGGAGGACAAGGTTGAAGGCCCTTGGAAATCAATGGAAGAAATGGTGTAAAGGGAATCTGGAGACCCAGGTATGACTCCAACTCTAGTTAGCCTCCTTTGAGTGTTACCTGGCTTCAAGTGACAGGTAGCATTGTTAAGGGACACAGAAGGGAAGCTCACATGACTGGAAATGAGATGAGAAGAGAGAGCCTCACAATAAGGGTGCCTTGTTCCCCCAAAAGAGAGGCTGGTGTGATGCTAGAGAGAACCTTCTTTCAGCTGCAAGGCCAGCAAGGAGTCATTTTCCATGGGGATGGGCCTGGGTCAGCTTCAGGCTGGGAGTCCCAGAACGCAGTCCCTGCTGACACCTCCCTTACCCACCCCACCACCCAGCATCGCCAGGATCCCCACTCTTTTTTTTCTTTCTTTCTTTAAGTAGTTTCCACGCCCAGTGTGGAGCCCAATGCAAGGCTTGAAGTCCCGACCCTGAGATCATGACCTGAGCTGAGATCAAGTCAGATGCTTAACCACTTAACCGACTGAGCCACCCAGGCGCCCCCGTGATCCCCACTCTTGATTGCAGGAATAAACCAGGAACCAATGTCCTGGTCCTGCCCCTTAACCAACACTTCCTGAGAATTCAGGAACCTCAGGCCCAGGGCTTCCTCTTTCTTTCCCTTCACTTCTTCATTAGCAAGATGGAAAGTAGCACCTGTCTCCCTCCCTGACCTCAATTAAATCTCATTTAAGAAGCACCTGAATCATAGGACAGGGGAATTTTAGTTCCTCAGGGCATTACATTAATGGAAAGGCTAGTGTCAGTGACTCACAGCTCCCACTATCCCTGCGAAGAGTGGCTTTTCCATTCAATCGCTAAACCATACAGGAAGCATTGGAGAGCCAACTACGCACCAAGCATTGTAGGGAATATAATCCAAGTAGGAGAAAGATGCTCCTCGGTCTCTATCCACTGAAGGGAACTCCCATGCTTTCCCAGCCGTTTAACAGCTGTGGATGATCTTCTGTATCACTGTGGGGGGCTCAAAAGACAGCTGCCTCTCAGGAGCTCAGTTTGGTGGGGACGTGAGCATAACGAAGCAAAAGCAATGCATTGTGTTCGGTGTTGCGTGGGAGAAACACCCAAGGACCACAGCTGGGACAAAAGCCACAGTCAACACTCCCCACAGCATTCAGGGGAGCCCTCACCCAGGGGAGAGGCTTCAAGGATGCAGAAGAGCTTTCCACCTGGAGAGGGAAAGGGGTGAGGAACGGGGAGAGCATTCCGGGCTGAGGGGACAGAATTTGCCAAGGCACAGAGGTATGCGGCAGGCCGTGCCCATTAACACACTGTGAGCTCAAAGTGGGGGCAGCGGGGGACAAAGCTGGACAAATAGACAGTGGCCAGATTGAGTGTGGGACCCCAGACTCATCTGCGAAGCAGGGGCCCGACGGGAAGCCATGGCTGAGATGGACAGCAACTTCAGTGGCCCGAAATCCAGTGACTTGTGTCCTTAAAAGAAGAGGACACGGGGAGACACAGACACAGAGAAGATAGAGAAGAAAGCTACGGGACAGAGACGCAGAGACTGGAGTAACACCAAGGTTAACAACCACCGCCACCAGCAGCCAGGAGGGAGGGGTAGGATAGTTTCTCCCTTGGAGCTCCAGAAGGAAGCAAACCTGCCCACACCTGGATTGCAGACTTTTAGCCTCCAGAATGTGAAAGAATAAACCTCTGTTGTTTTAAACCTCCCGGTTTGTGGTCCTTTGTGATGGCAGCCCTAGGAAACTAATACACCTCTGAAATGTGGACAGTTTTGTATCCCCCGCCCCCCACCGGGGCTGGTGACTTGAAATGCTAAAAGGAGCCTACCTAGCACAGCAGGAGTCTCAACGGCTTAATGTTGAAGTGGCCCGGGTTTCGCCAGGTGGAAGGGAGGGAAGTGGAGTGCGCAAAGGGTAGACAAGTGCAGCTCTCGGGAGAGATGACGCTGGAAGCCCCGGAATGCAGTGTGCAGGGAACCAGCACTTGCGGTCAGCACTCTGGCCAGCCCCCAGCTCTGCGGTCTCGGGTCCCTAGTTAGCGGGCCAGGAAACAGGCCCCCGTTCCAGCCCAGGCCTCCCCACCGGCTCTGGGATTGACTTTAAGATTGCGCTCGCACTCAGGGTCTGAATTCCCGAGGAATGTTCTGAGCTGACAGGGCCATGCTGAAACCAGAGAGGCACTGCCAGTAACCCCAAGGCTGGGTTAGAGAATCACATCCCATGAAGTGCCCAGACTGGTTCCGTGCTGGGAAACCCAATGCAGCTTCACGGAGTCTCCTCCTCCCACGAGCTCTCACCCAGTGGATCTGTCCTGACCTCTCTTCCTCTCTTTCTCCTCTCCCAATCCATTCTCTCTCTCTCTCTCTCTCTCTCTCTCTCTCTCTCTCTCCCTCTCTCCTTCTCTCCCCTCTCCTCCTCCCCCCTTCTCTGCCCTCTCCTTCTCTCTCTTTCTCTCCCCTCTCCTTCTCTCCTCCTCTGTCTCTGCTCCTCTCCCCTTTCCCCTCTCCCTCTCTCTTCCCCTCTCCCTCTCTCCTCCCCTCTCCCCTCCCTCTCCAGCTATGCTCAGTCCAGGATCCTAAAATGAAATCGAATGATTGGAGTTAGGAAGACCTTACCTGAATCCCACTAACAGCTCCAGGATCTGTTTCCTCATCTGAAAGAAGGGAGCACCTAACATTTAATTCACAGTGTTGTCATGCACATCAAATAGAACTACATCCAGCACATAGCAGCTGTTCAGTAAGACTCATTTACTCACTCGTGGATTTCGGGCACTGGAGGCAGGAAGGCTGCTTCTTGAGTCTGTACGAGAAAGACAAGGAACATGGTGAAGCTGGCAAAATTGCCTTTCAGCATCTTGCCTTTGTCAGGCCTCCCCCTCATTTCCAGATACCCGAATGTTCTTATACTTTCCATATGTTGCTCAACCAAAAAAAAAAAGCCATTCAGACTAAACTGTTCAACGACTACTATGATTGCCAACTGCCCATCCTGGGAGTATTTTCTTTTTTTTTTTTTTTAAGATTTTATTTATTTATTTGAGAGAGAGAACGAGATAGAGAGAGCATGAGAGGGGGGAGGGTCAGAGGGAGAAGCAGACTCCCCACTGAGCAGGGAGCCCGATGCGGGACTCGATCCGGGACTCCAGGATCATGACCCGAGCCGAAGGCAGTCGCTCAACTGACTGAGCCACCCAGGCACCCCTGGGAGTATTTTCTATTTAATAGAATAGCCTACTAATTTCACTCAGCAGTAAAAAGGAACGAACCACCGATACATACACCACCGTAGATGAATCTCAAAAACATTATATCAAGCAAGAGAATGAAGAGTACATACTGTATGCTTCCGGTTATATACAATTCTAGAACAGGCAGAATTTATCTATGATGACAGAAGGCAGATCAGTGCTTGTTCAGAAGCAGGGGTGGGGCTGAGGATTTCCCGCCAAGGGACATGAAGGAATGTTTTCGGGGTAATGGATGCGTTCTATTGTCTTCACTGGGGTGGTTGTCACCCAGCTGTATGCATTTGTCAAAACCAACAAACTGTGTCCTTAAAAATGGATGCATTTTATTATATGTAAATCCTCCATCCACAAAGATAAGTACAAGAGAAAAAAAAGGCCTATTAAAAAGGTTGATGCCAGGGCGCCTGGGTGGCTCAGTTGGTTAAGCGACTGCCTTCGGCTCAGGTCATGATCCTGGAGTCCCTGGATCGAGTCCCGCATCAGGCTCCCTGCTCAGCAGGGAGTCTGCTTCTCCCTCTGACCCTCCTCCCTCTCATGCTCTCTGCCTCTCATTCTTTCTCTCACAAATAAATAAAATCTTTAAAAAAAAAAAAAAAAAGGTTGATGCCGGGCGCCTGAGTGGCTCAGCCGTTTAGAGTCTGCCTTCGGCTCAGGTCATGATCCCAGGGTCCTGGGATCAAGCCCCACATCGGGCTCCCTGCTCCGCGGGAAGCCTGCTTCTCCCTCTCCCACTCCCCCTGCTTGTGTTCCTGCTCTCGCTGTCTCTCTCTATGTCAAATAAATAAATAAAATCTTTAAAAAAAAAAAAAAAAGGTTGATGCCTAACACTAAAAAATTCATCACTAAGAGTAGAATTCTAGGGAAACTGAGGATAACAGAGCCAGGCCGTGGAGGGCATTTCAGGAGAACAAAAATCTTTGGTCTGACAAAAATCTTTCTAGACATAAGAAGCTATTTTGGAAATGTGGTTCAGACACCTGAATGTTTAGGGTTCTGTGATGACCCACCCTCCTACCTGTTTGTTCTGCACTCCCTGGTTGAGCCTAGGATATTTCATCATGCAACAAATATGTACTGAGTATCTCTACAGGCCAGGCACTCTTTCAGAAAGTAGGGAGTCCACAGCGAACAAAACAAAGTCTGTCCTCACCGAGCTTACATTTTAGTGGAGGGAAGAAAACAATAATGAAATAAATCGCTTCTGTTCAGCAGAGCTTGGAGGAGTGGGACCTAGGGGGCCAGGGAAACCCTGGGTGGGGGGAGGGAGGCTGCATTTGGGCAAAGACCTGGACAGAGTAAGGGGGTTAGCCTTTCGGATATCTAGGAACAATTGTGCAGGCCCTGAACTTGGCATGTTCATAGAACAGCAAGGAGACCCCAGTCCCTGGGGAGGAAGGTACAAGGAAGAGAGAAGGAGCTGAAGTCAGAGAGGAGGAGGGGAAGGAATAGGGTACAGATCGCCTCGGCCCTTGTGAATCCTTGCGAGGTCTTTGGCTTTTACACTGAGTGAGACAGGAAGCCTGGGCGGTGAGGGGTGACATTTACAAGGGTCACACTCCCTGTGTTGAAAGTGCACATGGGGGCTGGGGACAGGGCTGGCAAAATCTCGAGGCAGGACACCGGTAGGAGGCCATTGCTAGAAAAGGAGACTGCTTGGAGGCGCTGAAGCAGCGGGGACAGAAGGAAGTGACCAGATTCTGAATACGTTCTGTTGCTGAAGCCAACAGAACGTACGTAATGAATTGAATGTGGGATAGGAAAGGAGAAGAAAGAGTCAAGGACGTTTCTAAGGTTTGGGGCTTTGAATATACAGTTGACCCTTGAACAACACGGGGGTTGGGGGACCGACTCCCTGCACAGTGGAAAATTCAAGTATAACGTCTGGCTCCCCAAAACTTAACTGCTAATAGCCTCCTGTTGACCAGAAGCCTTACTAATGATATAAACAGTCGATTAACACATATTTTGTACGTTACGTGCAGTCTTATAATAAAGTAAGCTAGAGAAAAGAAAATGTTATTGAGACTATCATAAGAAAGAGAAAATTCAATTACAGCACTGAACTGGACTTAATGAAAAAGCTCCACGTAGAATTGGACCCGCACAGTTAAATCAGTGTTGTTCAAGGGTCAACTGCAATTGAAAAGAAAATCCTCTTGTTATGTGTGTTATCAAGGGCCCTTGTTATAAATTAGTCTCTAAACTAAATGACCATATTTTCAAAATTAAAAATGAAACCGTGTGGACCACCAAACAGCGCTGTGCCACAAACAGGTGCAAGAGGCAGTTTCAGAAATATAAAGACTTAAATATTGCAATTTCTGAGACATCTTAAAGGCCTATGGGACCAGTGTGGGATGAATATTTGAAACTGGGATGATCCCATAAAATGTTACAACCACCAACTTTTCCCAACAGAATTTCAGAAGCGATTTTTTCATTGATTCTCAAAAGCACAAGCCGCTGGTACCATCATGGCTGAGCTGGGTGAACTGGAATACTCTCTTAGGGAAGCAGGAGTTTGGTGACACAGTCGGATATTAAGATTTGGGAACTCACATGAAGTTTGTCGGCCCCCAGAGTGGTTTAGAATAAGTTGGTCGTCATTTAGCCAAAGGGGGAAACTATGACAGGAGCCTAAATGATAACTTTTCCTATATTGTTTTTATCCTCTCTGGTGCCATCTTCCACGAGTTTAAAGTCAAAGGGTTTTCTTCACAAGTGTTTACAAGCAATGATTCATTTAGAGTCCCAGGATAGAACCACAAATTCTTTCCTCTGCCTTCAATCCACAGCATTTATCTCTCAGCAAATAAAATAAGACGAGAGGAATGAAAACATTTTTAGTCACAGAGGTTGGAGCAATCCAGAGTTTCAACTTAGGAAGACACAGAAGACCTTTATTTCCAAAACTGTTTTCTAATGAACGTGTCAAATGCCCCCAATCTCCCTATGTCCCTGATTGGGTAGGCTTAGCTAAGACCCACCAAAGAAAAAGGACTTGCTCGAAACTTACTTGATGAGACAATGGCACTGAGAAAAATATTCCTACCAAGATAAGAAGGTCAGTAAATAAAGTCCATTCTCCTCTGAGAGCAGGGGAAATATTTGGCTTTCCAATACAGACTGGTCTGAGGTTTTGAAAAAAAATGTTTTCTTTAATACAGCCTCAATCATGATTTCCTGAGTCATCGGAAGAATGAAACACCCGAGGGAAGAAAAGGTAAGAATCACATACTGATTGAAGGCCTACTTTGTGTCAGCTCCCATTTTTAGCACAAAAGCATGAAAGAGAACGATCCATGCATTCTCTCAATAAACTTGTCTGATATGCCTCCCATGTGTCAGGTGTGTGTAGTGTTTCAGATGGACCTGAATCAATGAATAAAAGGGCTTTATCCAAATCAATAAATCACCTTTGCATCAAAACGTCCTTAGTCTCCTCTCTTGGGTTGGAAAACCATCAGACTCTTACCTTGTATTGCTTATTCTTTCGTTGCTAAGTTTATTCAGTGTTGGGGGGGACCCCAAGGAACATGGCCAAAAGGGCTAGCGTCCACTGGGGGTGTAATGAGAGAGGTTCCCAGTCTGCTTTCCAGCCCCAGGTCACGTCTGCGTCTGATTCTGGTCTCATCCCAGGCATGGGCCAATGGCTCCAGGGGACCCAGGAGACTAATGAACTGACTAATTCCAAGGACAACACAGACCCGAACCAGAGTGAAACTCCTGTGGAAAGATTCTGGGCTGGCACTACGGGAACAGCCTGGGGCCCGCCAGCAGGGACAGATGGCCATGGCAGCTCTCAACCCACCCTCAGCGGTGACAGGCGCAGAGCCAGAACAAGGGTGCCATTGGGCTTGCCGCTTGCCCACCAGCCATTTCCTTATTTCCCTTGTACTACCTCAAACCATGACTGCTCGAAACACCTTCTCAAGAAATGGATGGGTGTGACCTGGGGAGGGAACAGTGTAAATAGGCATGGACAAAGGCAAGTATTGAGAAAAGAAGACAATTTTAAGGGAGAGCGGGAGAAGACATAGCCGCCTTCATCGTGTTCAAGATGAAGACCCCAGATATTTCTGGGTGAGACTTCTCAGTTTCCCCAAACCAAGGCTTGTCCTAGATCCCCTGAGAAAGAACTTCTGAAGGGAGACCTAGGCAAAGTTTATTTTCCCCTTGTAAAGAAATATGGCTCTCTTCCCACAAAATAACAGCGTGTGTGTGTGTGTGTGTGTGTGTGTGATATACATCCATGCTTTGCAATGTTGAACTATTAGTTAATAATATTTGGGGGTGTGGGTAGCACCTGGCATGTGGCCATGATGGACATCCGTAAAAGCAGGTGGAGGTGGGAATAAGCTTGACCGATGACAAGGCTGAAGTTCAGAGAGACAAAGGGATGTGGCGTGGGTCCCAAATCTAGTTACCTGGGGAGACAGGACTAGAACTCGGGTCTCCAGACTCCTGTTCCAGGCAGCCAGCTGTTTATCACCCTAATCCTATGTCACGACTTATTTAAGGATAACAACTCAGACAGCAAACCCTTTTACAT